GTACACTTATTTTATATTCTTATGTAATTACATTGCCTAATGCTCTGAAGACAATGTTAAATAACATCAGGGAGAGTGTGGTTTCTCATCTTGTTCCTGATTTCACTGGGAATGCTTCTAGGGTTTTATAATATGATGCTGCCTATTGATTTGAGAGATATTAATTATGTTATGAAAGTATTTATTCCCATCTTATTAGATTTAATTGCAAATGGACTGATTTTTTAAAATCAGTAACCCTTTCAAGCATCTACCAAAATGATCCATTGTGTACTTTCCTTTTGTTCACTTAAGAATTCTAAACATTAATAATTGTATTCCTAAAGTTAACCACATTTGGTCAAAATATATTCTTACTTAACTGTAGCAAATTCTAATTATCTTTTTGCTAATATTTTACTTCTACAAAAATCATGTATTAGTAAAATCTGTCTTAGTTTTCTTTTGCAGGTGCATCTTTCATCAGGTTTTTAACATCTATGTTAGTCACACGCAGGTTTTAAAGAATATGAGTGCTTTCCCCCCATACTCTGAACAATAAAATATCACTAGAATTCCTGGTTTCTTGTAGACTTGAAATCTCCCTCTTCAGACACAACTTTTACTGGTGCTTTTATTAAAAGATCGTTTGTTCAATTTTTTGAATAATTATAGTCCATCAGGTTTTTTGAATGTTACCTCTTCTAAAGCTGATTTAGTTCATTTATATCATCCTTTAAAATAAAAATCCACGTTTTCTAATGTATTTACATAGCTATATCTAAAAGTTAAATAACTAAGAGTACAATGATAGGTAAAGACTAATCAGAGATATGCAAACAAGAAGAAAACAACAGCCAGATTTGGGGGGAATAAACAAGACTCAATTCCATAGGGAAAGGCATACAATTAGGTAGACAGAATGACCTCATAATAAAAAAGGGTGATACATTTTCTGAGTCCTGTATACTTCAGAAACATCCTTCATTTGCCCATACTTAACATAACTTGGGTAGATGAGGAAATTCTTTCATTATCTTCTTTCCATCAAAACTCTCCAGTTGTTGAATTATTAGCTTTAGAAATTTTATGTGGCTTACAAGAATAAGTCAGCCTCGTTATTTTCCACTGTACTGACCTTTTTCCCCTTGATGTCTGTGAAATCATTTCTATAATCCCTGAAAATTCAGTAAATTGTACCAGTGTATTTTCCTAAAATATGAGTCTTCTTGAGCTCCAGATTCAAGTTTTCATTCATTCTTATCTTGTTTATTATTATTATTTTCTTGGATATTTTTCGTTTCCCATTATTCTATTGTCTTCTCTAGATGAATCATTTAGTTTTTCACTATTTGCAATTCACTCTTTAAATATCTTCATTTTTTGCCTAATTTCTCCATGTACTATGCAGATTTTCTCAAGCCCAATCCCTAGCTTACTGATTTCATTTTCTATGATTTATTCTGTTCCTTGCTACTTATAATAAATTATATTCTATGATTAATATGTTTCTGTTCCTCGTTATTCCTAGCTCTTTTCCATATCTTACCTTATTTTTGTTCTTTTTTGCCCCCCAGATGTCATTTGCTGTCTAACTTCCTTAGCAGTTTACATCAACATTCTAAGATTTTATTTTTTCCTAGAAAAATTCAATTTTTCTAAACAGCTCATATTCACTATCTTTTGAATGCTAAAATAGTTATATAGGCTTCATGTATATTAATTTGTTTATATGCATTCTATAATTCATCTGTAAGAAAAATATTCTTTGGTTCTATTATTTAAACAAAAGTATAGGTAGCAGCTCCCGGAGGACCAAACACTTTTCTTTAAAATTAACATAAAAGCTACCAACTCAGGCTACAATTGCTTAATCAGCTGACTGAGGAGCATAGGGATGAAAGGTAGGACTAAAGCTAGTGAGTCCTTTACCTCTGTGTAATTTCTCTCCAAGTCTGTTAAAACTCTCACAGGGATGAGAAAATGAGAACCAGCTTCACGTGGGCTAGGGGAATATCACATGCCATGAGAGGACTGCTTTGGCCCATCTGCCTACTTTCCAGCGAGCCAAGCTCCTGAGACAGGCTTAGTCAGAACAGAAGCCCGTAACTCTCATCATTTTTTTTTTAATGGGTCAGTACCTAATTTTTTCTTTTCCTGTAAAGTCGGCAAAAAGACATTTCCTTCATGATTCTTCTCTTAGTCTTACCTCACCTCTAAGCTTTGCTCCTCCTGGTAAGAAAAACAAGTTGGCCCAAAGGAAAATGGTATGACAACAAAACCTCTCCTGTAGTCCTATTACAAATAAAATCAGGGTTTTCGTCTTTCTCTTACTGTGTGTCCATACAGTAATCTCTTCCCTCTAAATTAGTAGATGATAGGACACTTACTACACACACTGCCTTATGCAGCTTATTCAGGATACTTATAAATTGTCAGTGTTCTCACATTCAATTCAGTCTAAATGGCTTATCTGGCACCAATTCTGTCCAGTTTGTGGTAGCTTCTACTTAGACATGTTTTAAAGTTCTTTTTCAATATTCTGGTGAATTCAAGGGAAGATAGTTTAATCAACATTCACTTAACCCTATCATTTTTTCTCATCAAAATTAACTCATCCAATTTTATAATTTAAAATATAAAATCTGCATATATACTTCATCTCCTTGAAGACATTAGTATGAGTTACCTCATAAAAAGCAGTGTGTGCACACAGCAGGTATTCAATATCAGCTGAGTTAATCCCTCTCATAGAGGCATTTGAAATATATTCAGGATATAAATCAAATAATTTTAAGTACTTCAGTTCCATATTAAAGCAGCCCGTGTTTTAAAATGCCCTTGCATATTCTAAAATGTCCAGCTCTCAGCCTTGTTCTTGTAGTTCTCCTACAAACATATCAAACAATGTTTCTTTAAAGTATAAAGAAAACTAGGAACAGCAGTCTAGAATGAAAATAGTAAAAACCTCCAGTGATTAAGTCAAACTAAAACATGTTCAATTCTCTAATCAGGAAAGGAACTGTGCCATTAATGGATAAGATACCACAGGCATTGGAGCCACCGGTCTAAATTCAAATCCTGGCTCTCCCATTTGCTAGCTGTATGACCTAGATTCATTTACCTCTCTGAGCATTAGTTTCCTCATTTGGAAAATTAGGATAATAACTACATGTCACTGAATTGTTACAAGGTTTAAATGAAACAGTACAATAGGTGAACATTCAACAAATGGTATATAGTTATATACAGTTTATAAAAAGTGTGTGTGTGTGTGTGTGTGTGTGTGTGTGTGTGTGTGTGTGTGTGTGTGTGTATCTATGTATGTATGAAACTCTAATCTCTGATCTGACTAGGAGACCCATAGTTCCATTCCAAAGAAAAACTTATGCTCTGGGTTCACTTAAAACTTAAAAAGTCAGCTGGGCTCGATTGGCTCAGCCTGTAATCCCGCGCCTTTGGAAAGGCCAAGGTGAGTGGATCACCTGAGCCCGCAGGTTCAAGACCCACCTGGGCAGCGAGACCTCATCTCTACAATAAATCAAAAAATCAGCCAGGCGTGGTAGCGCGCACCTGTAGTTCCAGCTACTTGGAAGGCTGAGGCGGAAGGTCGAGGCTGCAGTGGCCGGGAGCGGCCACTACACTCCAGTCAGGGCGACAGAGTGAGACTCCAACTCAAAAAAAAAACAACAACAAAAAAAACCAAAAAACTTAAAAACTTAAAAACAAAAAACTTAAAAACTTAAAAAGTCAACCAGGCATGCCTGAAATCCCAGCACTTTGGGAGGCCAAGGCGGAAGGATTGCTTGAGTCCAGGAGCTCAACGCCAGCCTGGGCAACATAGCAAGACCTCTACTCTACAAAAAATTTTAAAAATTAGCCAGGTGTAGTGGGTGTGCACCTGTAGTCCTAGGTACTTGGGAGACTGACGTGAGGAGAACAGCTTGAGCCCAGGAACTCAAGGCTGCAGTGAGCCATGATCATGCCACTGCACTTCAACCTGGATGACAGAGTGAGACCCCAGAAAAAAACAAAGAAAACAAAAGAAAAGAAAAGGCACTTCCAAACAATAAGGTTTTTTTTACTCTTGCCAAAGAAATTACTGCTACGAAATTCAAATATGTTTCAGTTACCATTTAAATAATGCCTCTGTCATATTTATCAGCAGTTTCTAGAATTAGGTTCACATGAGTAGAAAGGAATAACAAAAATTATACCTGAAACTCTAACAGCTGCCTTTGTCCACAGTGTCTTTCTGAGGAAAAGAGCCACAGACAATTCTTCTGCACGAAGAAGCATGGAGCCCCAACCGCAACTAACCAAACTAGTGGCTAAGCCAGAACTGGTGAGGTAGAAGTGAAACCAACTACTACAATTATGGCAATATCAGGAACACCTATTCAATCTTCTCTCCAGTAACAAGGTGAAGAGATACATATAGAGCAGTAAGCAGTGGCTTATAAGGAATAAAGAAAACTTATTCTAAGCTATTACAGAATCTTGAAAAATGATCAACCAATATTAGAGAGTCCTAAGATAACAGCTCAATTTCCAACTCTTGGAAATATTAGAACACAAAAAAATTGCACTGCTGTTAACAGTATTCCATGCCCACTGACTCCCCTGTGTAAAATAAAGCACTGCTTCTAAAAATTTTTGTCAGAGTACCCTGAATCACAGAAGACAAGTATGGATTACTACGGATAGTCCTGATGAAATTCCTTTGAAACTTCTCACTGTACCTTAAATTTATGTGAAGAGTTTATGCTATGCCATAATATACCAGGGACTGTTAACTGATGCTTCAGAAAGACATGCCATGTTTACTCTCCATCTCATGAATCATCTAAAATACCAATCGATGCTTTCTCCCAAGAAAAGAGATTCTAAACTGAACAGTACAGACTTAAGATAATCTAGACAGCTTTTTCTCTTGAACGATTCTAATTTTTACATAAATCAAGAAATAGAAAATTATTTTTCTGAGGTCCAGAATATTTATCAGAATAAACTCAACTCACGATCTGATGTGTGGGAAATCCTCTTCAATTTTGCTCCCTGTATTTTTAAAAATTTGTAGTGCAGCTTCTGCAACTTTTTCATCATCCATTTTCAGACAAGCCAGCAGTGATTCAAATGTTTCAGCAGAATGAAATGAGATGGGATGTGTAAATGAGAGTACCTATAAAGTGAACCACAAAAATAACATATAGAACCTCTTCATCTTTGTAACACAAAGCTAAAATATTACATATTAGGAATACTATAAATACAAAAATAATTATGCTAACAAGAAATTAAGAACACCATGAATAAAATTTAAAACTCAAATATATAACAGAATGTCCCTATGTAGGAAGCTGCGTGACATAAAAGGTCATTTGCTCCCAAATTAAATTACATGTTAACATAATTTTAGTCAAAATAATTTAAATTTTGATTACTGTATGGATTTTTCGGGAGAAGGGTGGGGAATGAGGGTAGAAGAAAAGAGACATGAAGAGAAAATTTAACAAAATATCTCTCTTCTTCTAAATAAAGATCATTAGAAGATAGTAACTAAGAACATTTTTGAGAAAAGTAAACTGTGGGAAGGAATAAAACACCAGATAGTGAAAAATACCAAAAAGTTACAATAACTAAATCAACATGACACTAACATTAGAACAATCATGAAACAGAAAATTAAAGCAATAAACAGACCCTAGATTATATAACAATTTAGACTGTCTAGACTGTTGTAGATTATAAAGAAGGCAACAGAAAATAGTCCTGGGAAAACTGAATAGCCAATGGGAGAAAATCAAATTTGACTTCCCCCAACCCAAAAACATTCTTTTTTTTTTTTTGCAAGCAGGATTTATTGAGAGGACAGAAAAGTTCCCACAGTAGGAGGGGACCCAAAGGGGTTGCCCTCAAAAACACTTTAAAAATATACCTCAGATAGGTTGTGTTTAAGAATTTTTTAAAACCAAGACAATAAAAACTCTCTGAATATGAGAGTTTTCCTAAGCACAAAATAAACAATGGGAATCAATGTGGACTGTAAAAAAAAGCAAGCAGCAGATAAATATACTATGTATAATGCCATATGAATAACATTCTGAAGTAATCAGAACATATAATATGTTCTTTAGAGATACACAAATACAGATGAGAAGATTATAAAGAATAGGAAGAGAATAATAAATCCAAAATTTAGGAAAATGATACCTGGGGGATGGGGCAGGAGGAACCACTCAGGGAACGTCAACAATATTTTTAATAAGCAATTTAATTAAATATTCTATTTATTTTATACTGTTAGTCACTTTATTACTGTACCTCATAACTTACATATGAGAAAATACTTTTTTATGGATCAAATATGTACCATGAAAAAGCAAAGGAAATTAAAAAGCTCACATAAATCACTTTTTAAGAAAAGACTGAGATGTCAGTATCAGATATATGAACAAAGGATAAAAATAATGAATTCACCATGGAGAAAACACGAATGATTGACATACGAAAGGTAGACTTCACTAGAAATAATTATGCAAATTAAAATGTCATTTTGCTCAACAGATTAGCAAACCTTTTTTAAATTTACAATATTCCATGTGAAGGTTAAGAAGATGGACACCTTCATACTGATGGGATCATATATGGGCAAAATTTCTCTGTAAGGGATTCTGAATATATGTATCTCCAAGAATTTTGAAAATGGCCATTGTCTTTGACTCAGCAATACCCTTCTAATTTTCCAAAAATGCAGGCCATTACCAAGAGATCTTCTACAGAAATATTCACCTTAGTATGGTTTACAAAAGTAAAATTAGAAAAATCTAAATATTCAATAGGAGAATAATAGCAATACAATATTCCAAAAGTGAACTAATCACATCATTTCAAAAAATAATGTTTATTATTATTATTATTTTATTATTAGCCAGGAACTATCCCAAGAAATTTATGTACATGATTGAATGTAGTCCTCTGGAAAGTAAGTACTTAATTATTACCTTCATTTCAGATGAGGAAGTGAGGCAAGTAATGTGCCCAAAAGCACACCGTTAGTGAATGACAGCCAAAAATCTGACCTGTTTTAGGTACTCTTAAAAACAGTCAAGAAACACTGAGAAAAATACCAATGCTTTAATAAAAGAAAATAGTTCAGGATACAAAATTGTATAATCAGTTTGATCTCTACTACATAAAACTGTATTTTGAAAGATTAAAAGGAAATAAAAGAAACTAATAATGTTTATTACTTTAATAAAAGAAAATAGGAAACAAAATTGTATATAATCAGTCTGATCTCAACTACATAAAACTAAGCATTTCTGGAAGATTAAAAGGAAACACAAGAAGTTAATAATGTTTACGTATGACAGGCCTATACATGCCTTGTTTATAATTTTATATATTCTAAGTTGTCAATAATGAACTGATATTTGTATAAAAAACTGATATTTTATGAAATAGAGTTTTAGGAAGAATTTGGCTCATTCTGTGGTAGAGTTAGTACTTTTGTTCACTAATGACACCTTAAATTAAACTTCACGATTTTAATGTAATTAGTACTAGGCTATATTACAGAATTCAAACCTAAAAATATTCAGCTTACAAGTTAGGATAAATATGCAGTTTCAAAATTATCTAAAACAACTGAGAAAATTTTACCTTGTATATACTTAAGAAGCAGATCTCAAGAACAAATAATATTATCCGCCTATGTTTAACATTCACCTAATTAGGCACTTAATTTTCAATAGATATCTACCTTAAGCAGTTCAAGACCCGCCCTGATGGCCTGATCAGTTGGAACACCCTCATCTTCATCATCTGCTGTTCCATCTATTGATTTGTTCACTTGCTTAATAAGGGCACTGAAGTGTGACAAAAATAAAACTGTCACTTTTTATCAAATATCATTTATTAGCAATGTCTAAGAAAAATTATCCTAAATATTATACACACACACACACACACACACATACCACAAACCACATACAAATCTGATATAGCTGTTTCCCAAACACTACAGCAAAACAAACTATAATAAAATACTTTGAGATGCTTCTTTTTTTCGCTGGGCTCGGTGGCTCAGCCTGTAATCCCACGCCTTTGGGAGGCTGAGGTGAGTGGATTGCCTGAGCCCGTGGGTTCGAGACCCGCCTGGGCAGTGAGACCTCATCTCTACAATAAATAAAAAATAATAAAAATCAGCTGGGCATGGTAGCATATGCCTGTAATTCCGGCTACCTGGAAGGCTGAGGCGGAAGGATCGCCGGAGCCCAGCAGGTCGAGGCTGCGGTGGCCGGAAGCGGCCACTGCACTCCAGTCTGGACGACCGAGTGAGACTCCAACTCAAAAAAAAAAGGTTCGAGATGCTTTTTTTCAAAAAGTTATTTTCTATTGCCCACTGAATGGTCAAAATGTTATTAGATGTACTCTTTATTAATGCTATTGTTATCGTTAATGTTTTTTGTCCTAAGCCCAAAAGCATAGATTTTGTAATTATCTGAAATTGATAATTAGTACAGTAAGTTAACAATATATAATAAAGTAAAAAAAGAATAAAGAGCAACATAAAGCACTTTCAAACTATTTACCAAGTATTACTGTGTATAAGCCACAACTCTAAGCCAGGAACACACAGTCATACTCCTAAAAGGTATAAAAATACCTAGGTAACAGACATACATACAACATTAGAAAAGGAACTGTAATAGATCAGAAAAGAAACATGTTTTCAAGCTTTCTTCTAAAAACACACTTATGTTACAGTAAAATAAGCATTTATAATGCACTGATAATTATCTAAAATAATCATTTACACTGATGGGCATTTGTTCTTTTTACAAAAAAAAAAAACAAACAGCAAATACCAAGTTAAACAGAGACATAAAACACACCAAAATACAAGAAAATTCAATTATTCAATGTTCCTTAAAGTGTTTCATAAATTTGTTTCTACAAAAATATTATGGACTCACATGTAAAATGTAAGGTCAAGTTAGGATTCAAATGTATATGTCTTCCTTATAGTCTCCTTAAATTAATCAACCCTTTTTTTTTTTTTTTTTTTTGAGTCGAGTCTCACTCGGTCACCCAGACAGGAGTGCAGTGGCCGCTCCCGGCCACCGCAGCCTCGCCTGCTGGGCTCCAGCGATCCTTCCGCCTCAGCCTTCCGAGTAGCCGGAATTACAGGCATGCGCTACCACGCCCAGCTGATTTTTTTTATTTTTATTGTAGAGATGAGGTCTCGCTGTCCAGGCGGGTCTCGAACCCGCGGGCTCAGGCAATCCACTCACCTCAGCCTCCCCAAGGCGCGGGATTACAGGCTGAGCCACCGAGCCCGGCTAACCCTTTTTTTAAAAATCATCCCTTCTCAAGAGTTGATATTTTGAGGGTGTTTTCTCCCCTTTTTTGTGCTCATTTTCTTTATTCCATTTCTCATTTCTTTATTCCACTACTAGAGAGAAGATAGATGAACAGCAGAGTGTGTGCCTAGCCAATATCTAACTAGCACTGCCTTGAATAGAGAAGGCATGGGGGATTGTTTACTGAATTAATGCATTTCAGTCTGACGCAAAGTCTTCCTCTTACTAATACAAAGCCTTCTAGTTTTTGTTGTTTGTTAACCTCAGAAGCACCTCTTCATATTAAAATTTATGCCAGAGGAGTCCAAAGTGACTAACAGGTAACCAAAGTAGGGTCTATTTGTGAGAGGTCAATGCCCAAAAGCTATACTCAATGCCCTCCCCAGTGCAACATCTCCAAAAGGGCTTCACTGAGGGCAGGATGAAAAATCATCAGTATTATTTATTTTTTATTCTAATATATACTCCCTAAAGAACATTACTGATGAATGACTAATAAACCAGTTTTCTATGTACATAGTGTGTGTTTTTTTTAGTAGGAAACATTTTAAGGAAAAGTTTTAAAAACAAAAAACCTCACATTTCACAAAAGGAAATGCAGTCATAAGAAAAAATCATTTTCCAAGATTTCACAGTCACATAGTATCAAAGCTGAAACTTTAAATGAGAATTGTTCTAAAAAATATTTCTGGCTCTTGAATATCTTTGAAAATGCAACACATGTTCCTCTGCAACAGATGTACCTAGTTTTCCCGAGGACATAACTAAAATTTGTTTATATTACCTAACCTATGTCAACTAACAAAGAGTTACCAGAATACTGTTAACAGATAAAAATAGGGACTGGACTGACAATTTCTCACACAATTTGAACCAATGCTTAAAATTAAAATAAGTAACACTAGATATATACAGATACACACAGATAAGTGCGTGTGTATATGTGTGTATAGATGTGTGTGTTGTGTATAAAAATATAGATATATACAGATGAGTATATATGTAAATATACAAATGAGTAACCAGTTTGGTGCCTTGTACATAGCAGACACACAATAGTGAATGACCTCCTGAATGCATGAATGAATGAACAGTAGTAATGAGAATGTAGTATTTTTACAGACAAATACCTGATAGATTCAGTATCTATGTGTACAGGTGCTATCCTCTCCAAGAGAAACTTGATCATTTCCAGAAAAGGATTTGTAGGCTGCTTGGGGTTGCCCAACTTCTTAGTTATTTCACGCTGCAATACAGATTTTTAAAATATTACAAAAGTATATTTAAATAAATCATTACATCAAAATATTAAAAACCTACACTATTTAAAACCATGCAATACTTATGCTGGAATAAACAAATCAATAAGAACTGAACAAGTCCAACTAGATTAAGAATCTAGCATATGAGAAAGTTAATAGGAAATAGGAAAAAGGTAGACTATTGAATGTTATACTGAAATAACTGGACAGACATTCGGAATAAAAATAGGTCCCTATCTCATACCTTACACCAAAAACATTCCAAAAGGATAAAAATACAAAAGATTAAAACCAAGGATCACTGGATACACAAACTTCAGCAAGCAAAATTATCAGAGAAGCTTATTAAAACTATAGATTCCTGGATCTAACTCTGAAGATTCTCATTTAGATGGTTTGGAGTAGAATGAAGAATCATCATTCTCAAAAACGTATGTCAGAAAATCCATGGGTAACAAATTAAGAAACACCATCAATAGTAAATATTTTCATTGACTTGCAACAGAATAGGATTTTGTAAGCAGGACACGAAGACAAAAGTCATGAGGAAAACACTGTAGACTCAGCTAGGTCAAACAAAAACTGTAGTATGTAAAGAACATCATAAACAAAATGAAAGGCAAACTATAACTGACAGAAACAAATTTGCAACTTAACAGACAACACCATATGACAAACAAATCAATACAATAAAGACAAATACCATTCTATAAAAACAGGCAAAGATTATAAACATACAACTTACAAAAGACACATGAATGCCCAATAAATTCAATGAAAAAAAATGGTCAAAAAAAGGAACAAAGAAAAAAATCAGATGACTAGAAACTAACAAATATAAATCCCATCAAAATAACTATGTTTTTGTTTTTGCTTGGGCTTTGTTTACAGCAATACTACTGTCCAATATTGTTATGAATGAGAAAATGGTCATTCTCATTACTGGTGATTAGCATAAAACTAATTCAGTTTGAGGACAATTTGCCAATACATATTAAAGACTTTAAAAATGAACCTTGAGGTCAGGCATGGTGACTCATGCCTACAATCCCAGTACTTTGGGACAAGAAGATCACTTGAGGCCACAAGTTCATGATCAGCCTGAACAACACAACAAGACCTCTTCTCTTTTAAAAAAAAAAAAAAAAATCAAAATAATTAGCCAGGCATGGTGGCATGTGCCTTTAGTCCCAGCTACTCTGGAAGCTGAGGTAAAAGGATCACCTGGACCCAAGGAGATCAAGGTTGTGATGAGCTGTGACTGTGCTACTGCACTCCAGTCTGGGCAACAGAATGAGACTCCAACTCAAAAATGAAACACAAACAAAAAACAGCAAAAAACCTTGAACTCATTCAATTATACTTCTTTGAATGTGTTCTAAAGAAAGAATCAAGACAGTGCAAAAATATTTTGCTATAAAGATATTAATTATACCCTTCTTTATATTAATCAAAGGTGGGGAAAATCTAAATGTGTAATACAGTGAATTTCTCAATAAATTCCAGTACATATATTTGATAGTATGCTATGTAGCTCTTATAACACTATAAAACACGGGTCCCCAACTTTGGGGCCGAACTCTGTTAGGAACCCAACCGCACAGCAGGAGTGGAGTCAGCAGCAGCATCAGCTTCCCTCAGGGAGCGTCTGCTCTATAGCGAACTGCATACGCAAGGGACCAATGGTTGCACGCTCCTTAGGATCCTCCCCCACATCATTCCCCCAAGTCTGTGGGAAAACTGTCTTCCACGAAACCGGTGCCTGATGTCAAAAAGGTTAGGGACCACTGCTATAAAAGACTAGGGAAAAGTAAGTAAACGTACAAAACTATATGTGTAATAATCCCATTTTGGAAGGACATACATACCAAAATATTAGTAGCAACTGTTTCTACAAAGATATAATTTACCTGCATTGCTATTTATGTGACATTTTCTAAATTTTACAATATTGAATAAAAACTGCTTTTATAAAAGAGGGTATAAAAAAGATTTGGGGGCTTTTTCAGATATTAGCTCTTTTAATTTCTCTCCTTACCACACAACCTTCAGCCTGCTTGCAGGAGCATGTTGGACTAACAAGTACTTCTAACTGCTTTCTTATTTTCTCATCATCTTCTAACACCTGTGTGAATTTCTTCATGAAATCCTGAGCCTTACCAGGATCTGGCAAATTTCCTTAAAATAAATTAAAGTTAAATTAAAATATAATTTTAAAAATTCTAAAAATGATAAAAGCAACATTTTTCATTCCTTTTATTGCTTTAAAAATCTTATCTACAAATTCATCATTTAGTTTAAAAAAATAAATTGTAAAACACTTTAGTCAATATTCAAAAATAAAAATCTGCTTTTTAGAAATATAAAATGTCTATGCAGGAAAAATCTGAACAGACTAATTCTAAATAATTCCTTATAATATTTAAAGGTATTAAATGTCAACCTGAATAATACCAATTTTACTGCTGTACCCTTAGTTAAGCTTATTTTATACTCTAATTCATAATAAGAGATTAAAGCCATAAGCTTTATCTTTAAGAAACAATCTTTTCTGTATTTCCTTGTTTACTGTTAAACCAGCTCAGAGATAATTCACATATACATGCATGCAATTTAGCACTGACATATTCTCAGAAACATATTCCAGGTATTATTGTTGGATATGTCATTACTACATGAAGAGAAGGATGAGTCTTTGTAGCATCAAAAATGATTTTATGCTATTCTCCCAATATGCCTGTGTATCAAAATACTAGGAGAGCTAATAAAATGCTGATCCTAGTATCTTTTTTTCTGGCTATTTAACTGTTGTAGGGAATCATAATAGAATAACTCTAATAATAGAAACTGTAAAATAGAACTTTGGACCAAAAAAAAAAGTAGTAGAAAGTTAACTGAATATTAAAATATCAATGAGCAAATGTAGCCTTCAAGTTCATCTACAACTGTGAAATTCCATTTTATGTCTTGGCAAGAATAACTGAATCACTGAATGCAGTAAGAATATATTAATACATTAATCCTCCTAATTACTTGCTGTATGTCATTTTCATGTTTCTAAATAGAAAAATTCTATTGCAAGAGAACCATACTACAGTAAAATTGATAAACATGATCGTTTATAGAAGATAAACTGTTTACATGATAATTTCACATAATAAGCACCTAAGGGCAAGCTGGAAGACTGCCAGTACAGCACTTTGTAATCTGTGTTCCAAAGATCACTAGCAGTTCACTGAAGTTTAATAGTGTTCAGGAAAAGGTATTGTTTTCAATTTTGAAAAAAATGTCACTTTACATCCCCTTCATAGTGGACAGGCATCATATTAAAGGCTACAATAAGGCCTATTATTTATGAAAACAAAGGGGTGGGGAGGAGGGTGGGAGAAAAAAAACAAAAATCTTTAATTCAATATTCTATAAACATATATGACCTGAGAACCATTTTTCTCACAATATGATTAACACCTGCAGGATACCAGCATTCCTTGGAACAGAATCTGGGAAATACTATACTTGCTGGGAGAAAATGGATAGAGGGGGGAAAAAAAGGATACAGGGAATAATCTCCTTTAGGGAACAGTATCTACAGTCAAACTAGTAAAAAGTTAGTTAAAAAAAAAAAAGCAATAGCACAAAACAAGCTGTTCTAGCAAGGTAAGCAAGGAGACTGAAAAACTAGTTTACTCAAAATTGAAAGATATTTTCATCTTACAGCTCTACTCATGCATGCTACAACTCCCATCCCTTAACTCAAAACCCAGCGAGTTAGGCTTACTGCTCTCTTCAGTGCCTTACATTACTTTCACATGCATGCTTAGCATCTAAGATCAATCCTATAACCTCTTCATTACCACCAAGTGGAAGTTCAGTCAAGCACTTCTCCAGGTGCTTCTGATTCTCCCTCTCTCCCTATACTACATACAGTGACCTCTGAGGGGGGAAGAAAAGGCAATGACCTTCAAAACCAGCTGCTTTTCCCTATACCTGCACTGAACAAAGAGACTTGTCACACAATCCTTTTGTATTTTCTGATAATGGAATTAAATAACATTTTATCTAACGTTACTTAAAGCAAATTAATATTTTTTAAAGAAGCTCTTACGTAGTTGTTAGGTATTTTCTTTTACTCTATAATTTGGCTCAGAGCAAAATTAGTTTAGTTAGATTCACATTAGAGCGAGCAACACTAGAGTGCAGACTTCATTTTTACAGTAAGCTTATATAATGATTTAAATAAATTATCAAAAATAAATTCATGTACTTTAGTTCTTGCTCATATATGACAATGAAGAAAATTCTAAATTCCTGTATTATCATGGCCTATGATGAAACTGCATAAGACACCTAAAATTATTTTAAAAGTTCCATTAAATATTAAACTGTAAACAGACTTAAAATAACTTACTTGTAATAACCATCACTTTCGAAAATATGGCCTTGACACTGGCTTCTGTCTGTAAATCACACACACAAAAATGCAAAATTAAAATTTGCTGACAAGAATCTTCATCACACTGCAGAAAATTAGATACGCATAACCTACTAAGGCTCCAGAGTCTTGGCCTTGCCGCTATTGTATCCTTCTTTAGCTATTTTTAAACTCTAGATGAACCAAACAAGAGGTTGAAGTGAATGTACTCCACTTTCGTCACCTCTTACATCACCTTCTTTTGTCAGTTCCTAAACAAAAAACAGACTGCTGTACTATTTCGGGACAAGCAGATATTTTGTGGATTCTCTGCACTCAAAGAATAGGTCAACTAACTTTAGAAACAGAACAAAACACCTAGGAAATGCTGGTTTTCAAGTTTTTAGTCTTACCTCAAACAAAAAGTGTACACAAATATAAATTCTGATTGACTTAAGGTGCTCTTAAAATTTTCAGGCCCAAGAATTTTAAGGTATAGTAATAAAGTTTATGGGAAAGACATTGGAGAAAAACAATCAAGATGTCACTGATGTGAGTAAAACTTGTTGTTAAGAGTGTTAGTTATGGGTTGCATGTGGGGAGTGTTTTTTCAGTGAATGGATGTGCTCACTGCATTGTACTGCATGTAATACAATCACAAAATACTGTAAGTAAAGTTACATGTATAAAAGGTGTTTCTTAGAATGCTAATTAGTCACTGCATCAGGGTAGGGTTATTTAAAAAAACAAGCCAATGAGCAAGTATGTGTAAAATATTGAGCTAGATAAACATTGAAGTGAAAGTAATGAATCAAATAAACAAACTACTCTTAGAGTGAGCTTGCTAAGAGGAAATGGGAGGCAAAGTAATAATGTACAAGAATTAATTCCCAAATATTTGGAATTTAAGATTTCAATTTACAAAAATTTATATTTCTAAGATTTCTATTAAGATTTATTTGAGGGAAAAGGGGTAGTGCTAGGCTTTCAAGAAGCTGATTTACATGAAAAAGAACACCAACAGAAGTGTAATGCCAGAAATTGCCAAGTCAATTTTGAGTGACTCTGAGCACAGCGATTTAGTTTAAATGATGTAGAAGGACTACACTGCTGAGCTAAGAGTTAAAAATCAACCTAATCAGACTGACAAAGAAAGCAAAAAATATATATAATGACTGTCAAGTATCTAAGAGTCTTCCTAGTAAAATAGAAAGAAATATAAACACCCAACATTTAAACACAGCTTTGAATTTTTTCTAACATTAATGCTATAATGTCTACTATAATTCTTAGTTAAAGTGAACATCAAATAATCAGAGAGGAACTATTAGTTCTTCTCACACTAGAATTCCAATTCAAGGTTCTAACCTCCTCCATTCTGTTTCTGCTTCAACCCCACCACACATTAATGAAAACTCATTCTTTAATGTCAATAATTCAGGAATTATTTTAAAAGAAGCAAAAAAGAAAATTCCACAAAGTACAAGAAAACTAAAAATTCTAACTGAATTGAGGTTTTTTTTTTTCATGTATGACTGAGCAGGAAAGTCATAAGACTCTCCAAGATTTACCAACAGGCAGCAGGAAGAAACTCCCTCCAAATAACAAAGTTTAGAGGAACAGTGAGAGTCAACAACAAAGTTATCTTTCAATCTCACACATCATGTTTGTTCAACATATAATTTACACTTAACATACTATCTCCTATTATGACTTCAATAATGCCTAAAATCAGGAATCATTTTATGCACATGCAAATAAGAACATCTTATATTTTTAATTAACACCTTTGTATCTTTGGCCTGAGCAAGTAAACTAATAGCACTCTAGATAGCAAACAGAAGCACTTTATCCAGAGATTACTGACAGAAACACACTAACTTACTGCATTATTAACACTGACTGAAACAAATACTTATTGACTGAAATACACTAATTTTACTGGGGGTAAGAGAAAGGAAACACCAGAATCACTAAATTGAGTTATTTATTTTACGGGAAAACCTATTATAATAGGTTCAATATGATCAATATTTATAAGAAAAATAGCATAAACTATGTTCGATAAAACAGAGATTATTGTTAGCCTATAAAACAAAAATACTACTCAAATGTAAGCTTCAATTAGGCAAACAAGTGGTACAAAATGCCTTATTACTTGTGATTTGAAGGTTTAAAAAAACAGTGAAAGGGTCACCATAAACCACTAAAACAACTGGTGGTAGTTTATTGATTTTCAGGGCAACTGGACAATTTATGCCTACGGACACTGGAGATTTTCTACCCTTAGATGGAACAGCATTGACCTCTGTCCCATGAACATGAGGTGTATGTGCTGGAGGGGGATTGAGGGGATCACTACAAACCGAAAAAGAAATAAGAGTAATACCATATCAAGAGTTTACAGCCGAGTGCGGTGGCTCATGCCTGCAATCCCAGCACTTTGGGAGGATTGCTTGAGCCCAGGAGTTCGAGACCAGCCTAGGCAACATAGTGAGACCTTGTTTCTACAAAAAGATTAAAAAACTAGTGTGCCTATTAGTACCAGCTACTTGGGAGGCTGAAGAGGCAGAACCGCTTAAACCCAAGAGGTCGAGGCTACAGTGAGCTGAGACTGTGCCACTGCAATCCAGCCTAAGTGACAGAGTGAGACCTCAACTCAAAAAATTTAAAAATGTTTAAAAAAGAATATACAAAGAACCTGTGAACATCTTAGAATGGCAAGATAAAGTGTAAATTTATTCTATTTTCTATGCTGTCAATAATGTTGATTTATTATTTATTCCATTTTAAAGCTACCAAAAAAAAAAAAGCCCTTAATTTTGAGTGCATAAAAGTACATTCTCTTTCCTGTTGGGTACTGCCTTTTATAGACACAAACATTTAACATTTCTATGTAACTAAGTTTCTTAAAAATTAGAGTTTGCTAAGTTAGGAATCATAAGTTCCACAACAAGAATGCTTCCACACAAAAAGAATTTTTTAACACATAGCAGCAATAGCATATAATAATTAAAATACATGTTTCTTAAAAAAATTTGTATCAAAAGAAAAATTATCTTTAAAATAAGCTTACTTTGGGTTGCTTGATTAAGTCAAGTAAATCTTTTACTTGATGTCGGAGCAGATTCTGACATTTCCACATTTCATTCAATGCTCTGAAAAACAAAACACATATAAATTTAAATAACATACCAGGATAAAAATCCTTCTAGGATATTTCAAATGTATAATTTTTTAAAAGGTTCAATTACAAAAGGAGATAACAGAGCTGAGGTAAAATTCACAGGAGTAAGCAACTGATAATGTTTTATACAGAGAAAGAAAGGAATAAAATATAACAGTAGGACCAGAAGAAAGGGATTAGCTGTGGTGGTTGTTTTGCTTTGTATAAAAAAGGAAGATCTATCATTAACTGGAACATTATTTGTAGGCTACAGGGTAAGAATTAACTTGAGAAATTATAAACTTGAGAAATAAAGGAATTGATAGAAATAAGGTTCTGTAGTAGGCAGGATGACATGAAATCAAACACACAAACAGACGAGTTAGCAATGAGAAGAAGGGGATACTTTTTCTTAAAACAGAAATCATATTATATTTAAAATAAAACTGTCTCTAATTATTTACGCCATAAGTGAATATTCTTATATGTCAAGAATCCTGATGTCCTCTTAATAATTATATTGCTCTCAGGCAGAAATTTAACTCTAAAAAGAAATCACACAGGCAATTAAGAAAATATGTAAACCAAAGTGAACAGTTAATGTTAATGAAATATTAGATTACAGAATATCAGAACCACACATTTAAAATTTTTTTAATTTTTCAGAAACAAAGGATACTTTTCATCAGATTGTTTTCAATTATCTGCATTTCCATTAGCCTCTATTACCACACATATGAAGTACTGTCAAATAACAGCAATAAAATACCGATGCATATAAAACAATTTTTTCCTGCAATAAATGAGACAACTGTTTAATATTTTAATTCCACCCTTTGACAATATGTTCTCAAAATGCCTCCAGATGTTTTTAAAGGAGATAATCTACTTTAAAATCGGGCACTTAAATTCCTTTATAGTAGTTATTTCAAAATGGTACTGGCAAAGCAACAGAATTAATGCATTTTCATCTTGGCAATTAAATTTTAAGTGACTCTACTTTACTGATTTCAAGTTACTAAGTTCCATAAAGTTTCACGAGCACAATTTAAGAACATAAACACTGAAAGCAAAATCTTCATTCTCCAGAGGACTATAAAAATCTAACAAGAATTATATAATTAATATTAATTTTTCAAAGAAGCAGAGTAGTAGTGTATTTCACACACTTCTGAAATCCAAAGTCAATGTATCCTCTCCTTCCTATACACTTAATCATTAAAACTCCTGAAAAGCCTCGATTTTGAAATTTGCCTTTATTTAAACTAAAATCATTTTACCTATTCTACTTATATATTAAAGATGGAATCTCAAGCAATTCAAAAGTCCATCATAAACTATTATGGCTATAGCTTAAAAAGTGACCATCGTTGACTAAGAATTTGTATTATAACATATTTAGAGGAACTGCCCTCTCAAGTATTTTAATAAAATCACATTAAGCAGCAAGACAATTTGTTCCTGTTTTTTGCCTTTCAAATAGTTCTTTTTGAAGAAAAAAAGGGGGAAAAGTTATACTAGGAGAAGCAATATTACAATAAGAAGATAAATATACGCTTAGTAAATCTTAGCCTGACTTCTAGCTCTGCTGCTAAATAAATGCAAAAACTCTAGTCAGAGACTGTATATTCTTGCATTTGCTATCTTTCATTTTAAAGAAACAACTAGTTCCCTCACTAAGACTTCTCCTTATTATCAAACCACAAATTTGCAGCAACCCAAAGAAAAAGACAACTACTACTGGGATTCAGTCAGGGACCTGTACAACTGTTGAAAACCTCACCTCCAACCTTCTGCTCCCAGTTGAGCAAATCACTCATCAGAAGTATTTAACTGTCTAGATGCAAACATGCTCTAGATCACAACAAAAACACCTGCTTCCATCTCCTACTCTTGTCACTAGTGGGAGTTCTGAAAACTACAGATGGTGAACTACATGCCATCACCAAGGAGGAGTCAAAACTGCCCCTTTCTCTTTATTAATAATCAAGATATTTAGTTTACTTAGAAATCAGTGATCCAAAAACAGATTCACTCTCAAAATATAATACTTTGTCTTCCCCAAAGAAAAGCAGTCACAAAATAAAGTATATGGTTCTTTCAACAAGAACGAACCCTTACCAAATCCTCACCAGGAGCCTTCCTGGCAAGCAGCTATTTTCTAAGCCCCTTTCAATCTACATCAGACATTCACATGACTTCAGAACTGAAACTATACTTTATTTATTTCTTTCTTTTTTTGAAACTATACTTTAAATGAATGAAAAAGAAATGTTACAATACAGAGCAGCGAGAACTGTGATGAAACTGGAATACTAATGGACCAGAAAACTATAAAAAGATCAATATCATCTGTATTCAAAAAAATTAAACAGAAAATGTAACACTTAAAAGGTTAGCAAAAATTAAGATGTCTGATACGTAGGTGGATTCAGAAACTCATAAACCTCTGATAGTGTAAACTAGTATAATTATTGGAAAACAATTTGACACTAGTTTTCAGTGATGAAGACACACATACTCATCAATTCCACTCCTGGATATATGTCAGTGACTTTGAACCTCAGGTGCTCAATAGAATCTCCTGAAATGCTTTTCTAAAAATCCCAATGCCCAGACTACACTACAGAGAAAGTAAATGAGAATCTAGGAAGGAAAGACTTAGTTGTCAGTATTGCTTAAATACCCTAAGGTAATTCCAAAAGATAGCCAAATTTGAGAACCATTCTTAATCATACCTTTGAGAAATCCTTGCATGTGTATACTAAATTGAAATGTTTATGGTAACACTAATTGAAATAATAAAAAAGTAAATTACACAAATGTCCTTTTCCATTGACTCAAATTTCTGATGTTAAAATAATGGAATAAAATTATGGATTAATGACACAACGAAATTCTAAGCCACAATAAAATGAATGGTCTACAGCTATATATGCTATTATGAATAAATCTTGGAAACATAAGAGTAGAAAAATGTTACAGAAAACTATACAATTATTTCACTTTCATAAAGTTCAAAAACAAGCAAAAATATATTAAGGGATACATACATATATACACATACATATACACATGTTAAAACTAATTTTTAGAAGGAACTGAGAAACACAAAAATAAGGCTAGAGGTTACTTCTGAGGAAGATAGAAAGATGAAAGGGAGAAAAGTTCACAAATTGGGTGATAGATTCATAGATATATATTCATTTATACTATGCTTCATAACTCACATATTTGCTTTATTATTATTACATAATTAAAAATGCAAAAGCTTTTGGGGAAAACAATCACAGATAAATGTAAAGTAAGTACTAAAATGCTAGTAAGTATTATAGTTGGTATTTAATTCCAAAAAGATGGTTACAATAAAAATCATTTTAGCCAGGCTTGGTGCCTAAGCCTGTAATCCCGCGCCTTTGGGAGGCTGAGGTGAGTGGATTGCCTGAGCCCGCGGGTTCGAGACCCGCCTGGGCAGGCGAGACCTCATCTCTACAATAAATCAAAAAGTTAGCCGGGTGTCGTAGCGTGCACCTGTAATTCCGGCTACTCGGAAGGCTGAGGCGGAAGGATCGCCGGAGCCCAGCAGGTCAAGGCTGCGGTGGCCGGGAGCGGCCACTGCACTCCAGCCTGGGCGACAGAGTAAGACTCCAACTCAAAAAAAAAAAAAAAATCATTTTAAAATAATATGTACTTGCCTTAAGTATTTTATCTTAAAACAGATAAATATCCATTCATTCACTAAACGTTTTTGCAGAATCAAAGCCTTTTCTTCTGAATACTGATTCAGATTGGAATTTACTTTCAACTTTTCAATGGTATTATTTTTCAGTGTATCTCTTGTGAATAGCAGTGTATTTACTTTTTAACTCAACCAAATATACTTGTCATTTAAGTGACAAATGCTATATTTTATAACAACTATTTATAATTTGTGTTTCTGTTTGCTGTTATTTTCCTTTTCTTACTGTCTTTTTTGTTTCTAGTATTAAAGTTTTCATTAATTTTTTTTCACTCCTCTGGGTTTAGAAGCTATACATTTTAGTTTTATTCTCTAGGGGTAACTATTTTTAATATGCACACTTGACTAATGGTCTAATTAATCAACATGTCTGCCCTCACTTTTATATATAAAAGAACTTTAGAACGTTTTACTGCACATTACTTACCTGCCATTTTACATGTTATCTGTACATGTTGTGATATTCACCTAGTATTCAGAATTATTCACTAGGGCTTCAACCAGTCAGAGAAGTGGGTAGTGGAAGAAGGTCCTGGAGGTCCTTTTGCCATGCTCAGGCATGGTAGGATCATGGAAGGGAGGATTCCAAGGACACTCAGGAGAGCTCATATAGGGCTGCAGTGGTATGTGCTGTGGAAACATCAGACTAGATGCCACCTACTTTTTAATCTATGCCCCCATCTCTTATGCAAAAAACTTTATTATTGTTGTTATTTTTACAGTCCTTGATCATTTAGGTTTGAAAATTTTGCTGCTTCTTGTATCCTATTCCTTCCTTTACAGATTTAATTTCCATTTTAACCAAAAAATTATTATTCTTTAATAATTTCTCAAGTAGAAGTAGCAAATTCCCAATTTTTGCTTGAAAGAATCTTTATTTCATTTTTATTCTTTTATTTTTATTTATTTATTAATTTTGAGTCAGAGTCTCACTCTGCCACCCAGACTGGAGTGCAGTGGCCACTCCTGGCCACCACAGCCTCTCGACCTGCTGGGCTCCGGCGATCCTTCCGCCTCAGCCTTTCGAGGAGCCAGAACTACAGGCATGCGCTACCACACCCGCCTGATTTTTTGATTTATTGTAGAGATGAGGTCTCACCAAGTTGCCCAGGTGGGTCTCGAACTCGCAGGCTCAGGCAATCCACTCACCTCAGCATCCCAAGGCGCGGGATTACAGGCTGAGCCACCGAGCCAGGCTTATTTTTATTTTTTAAATTGAAGTCTCACTCCTTCGCCCAGGCTGGAGTGCAGTGGCACGAACGTTTACAGCTACCCCAGCGTCAACCTACTGAGCTCTGGTAATTCTTCCGCCTCAGCCTTCCAAGTAGCCGGAACTACAGATACGCGCAACCACACACAGCTATTTTTAAATTTTATTTTATTGTAGAGAAGAGGTCTCCCCAAGTTGCCCAGGCTGGTCTCGGCCTGCAGGCTCATGCAATCCATTCACCTCGGCCTCCCAAAGTGCTGGGATTACAGGCTGAGCCACCGCGCCTGGCCTTCATTTTAATTCTTATATGATAGTTGAGTTGAGGCAAGAAGTCTAAATTTACTGTGATTTCCAATAGTTTGTTTCAAATAGGATACATATATATTTCATTTACTCTAAAAGGCCATAAATTAACTGTACCATGAGGAAAAGAAACACCAATTAAACTCTGACAAACTAACAATTTTAGAATGCATTCCAACTCCATTAAAAATTGTATAACGTAATTTATAAAATTAAATATTTTAGTACTATATTTTACTATATGTAGTGAAAAAAAAACGAACAAAGCAGAACTGAGTTCAAATCCTGGCTCTCTCTCTTACTCTTTTTGTGACTTTGTGTAAGTTAATTAACCTCTGTGTGATTCAGTTCATCATGTGTAAAACAGGAAAAACATCATTTAATCCAAAAGTGGCAAGTTTTTTCTGTAAAAAGTCAGAAAGTAAATATTTTAAGCTTTGTGAGCAACAGGGTCTCTTCAGCAACCTCCTTTTCCACTGTAGCACCAAAGTAGCTAAAGTGCCTGAAATACAGCAGATATGAAAAACAAAATGTGTACTTCTCTCCTCTACAATTTTTTCCTCAACATTTCTCTATAAAATGTGAACAACACATATGATTATTTCCATGGAGGAAATAAAGTCAAAAGTCTCAATAAGCAGTGGTACAAATGAAAATTATATACAGTTCCTTAGACCTCTAATTTCTGACCATTTAATTGCAAACAGTGGTAAAGTATATTTGCCAAAATACTAAGGTCTGCACTTCCTAAACCTAAAGTAAATCCCTAGACCTCAATTTCCTAACACTTAGTATGCTTCAAAGAACAACGTCTCCTCTATGTCTAAAATGCCCCAATTCCCTACCCAGATACCAAAAAGTACTTTTTGAATGAAATATGTGCCGGGCTCGGTGGCTCAGCCTGTAATCCCGCACTTTGGGAGGCTGAGGTGAGTGGACTGCCTGAGGCCGCGGGTTCAAGACCCGCCTGGGCAGCGAGAACTCATCTCTACAATAAATCAAAAAATTAGCTGGGCGTGGTAGCGCGCGCCTATAATTCTG